TATATAATAATAATAATAATAACTTTAGTACTGCAGAGCTGGAAGAGAGCATATGGATCACGAAGTCCAGCCCTTGTCGAGGAGGCACAGTGGGGAATTGAGCTCCCGACCAAACCTAAACTACTGAGCTATCCAGCAGTTCTAGTTTTGCATAATATTTTAATTTGTTCTTATTGTATCTTTTTTTAAATTGTTGCGATCTTCCTCAGACCCTCTATGGGAAAAAAGGCATAATGTAGTGTAATGTAATTTAATGTAACGAGTGTATGGTTATTGTTTTTCTTCCCTTTGTTAATTCATTCTAGCATAACTTTGTGGGCGGTTGGGGCATTGAGGTAGATCCAGATGGTGTTAGAGGTGGCAGGCAGGAACCTGTCACCTCTGGGTATTATGGGATCCCCTTAAGGGGACCTTGGGGCAGAGCATGGTCTGGCCTAGCATTGAGGCTGAAGGTCCAGCACTGTCCCCAGGTGGTAGGGAGCCATGAAGTGCCGAATGCCCACATGGCCTCCAAAGGACCGTCATCCCTGGTGGTGACCCTCAACAAATCCTTGAAGGCTGGTAATGATATCAGAAGGCACTTGAGTCTTTCAGTGCATTGGATCCATCCTCAATGCTGAGTCAGAAAAGCTGCTGCTGCAGCCAATGAAGTTGTGTCATCTTTCTTCCAAGAGTGGGTTAGTTGTGTTTATCATTATTGTATATGTTCTGGGCCTGCTCAGCCAAATCTGACTGATCACATTATGTTCTAGAAGCCTTTGTAAAAGACAAGACAGAAAATGATGATGAAACCTGGTCTGCTTATGATGAGCACAAGGCGTTGTATGTTCTTCAGCACTGGGATGAAATGCCAGAGTATGGATGCAAATTAGTTCCAGAACATGTAGAAGTGCGATCCCTTTATAATCCAGAGAATCCTGGTCTCCTGCAAGTGAGTACAGAATATCGGGTGACTAGTAATACAGCCGTCTGTGAAGGGGTTTCCCCGCCTTTTAAAAGCCTTTCTACGTAGTTGCTCTTTATGAAAACTATATAGGATCCAAGGCAAGTGGGGCCATGGGGCTAGCAAAACCACAACAGGATGGTCTGCTGGTATTCTGTCAGCCAGAACAACAGACAGACAAGGCTCTCATCATATCCAGCTCAGGGAACAACAGCATTACAGAGCAGAAAAATGCAAAGCCACAACAATAAGAATGGACAAATCTGTTCTACAACTTCAAGAGCTTTTTCGACACACAATTACATTCCACCCAGGTCCCCCATCATTTGCCAAAACATTTTGATAAGAAGTGCACATGAAAATGTGTACTGGTTTTTAATAGACCATCTCCCCTTTGTCTGCATTTGTGAACACATTTTTAATCAAGAGGAATACTAATGCACCATGAAATTGGGAGATGGGGAAAACCTAAAGGGCTTTGCTGACAGAAGGCTGTCTTGAAGCTCCTGATGTTGGTAAATGCTTAGAATGTGATTATCTTTTTAAAAATATATTCTGCCTCACAAAAACTGCTATTCCTTTCTAATTGTTAACATGTTGCTGACTGTTTTAATTCCCATTGTAAAATTAACTCTTTCCCTTCACCAATAATTCTGGGAGGGCAGTGATATCCAGGGGCGATGTTTACATAATACACCACAACTTGGGGTACATTCATCTGCAGTGGAGATTTATCTATGAGTCCCACAACACAAGAAACAAAACAAGACAATACTCCTGAATAAGATCTTAGGAATTTTGCATTTTCTAGGTCACCTTTGTATATATTTTGAGTATAATGTGATTTTGGTTTTCTATCTTGAATTGAGTGATAGGTGTAAAAACCCCTGTTAATCTCATCCCTCTGCCCAAGACAAACATTTTGGCTGAACTGCAGATGGAAAAAGTTGAGGGGAAACCATGAGTGGCGATAGAAGAGTAGATGGTTTCTTATACAGGCTGTATCCTCCAGCATTACCGTGCCATGGACTTGACTCCACCTACACATTACAATTCCAAGGCACCAGCACAAAAACAGAGGTGTAAGGATTGATATTAAGCAAATTAGAAGCTTTCAGAAATTGGAACTGTAAAGCTCAATTTCTCAGCACCGAAATCAACCATCTGAATTGGGACCCTACAGGCAAATAGATACTCCAAAAATGAAATCACAAGAGCCATCAAACCAAGAAAACAACACCAAATTGAAGAGGAAAAACAGCCACCCACAAATAAAGTATTTCTGCCATACATCAAAGGAATCATGGATAGCATGGGGAAACTTTTGAAAAAAACACAACCTACAAACAGTATTCAAGCCCACCACAAAAATACAACAAATGTTATTTATTTATTTATTTATTTATTTATTTATTTATTTATTTATTTATTTATTTATTTATTTATTTATTTATTTATTTATTTATTTATTCAATTTAAACCCCGCCTATCTGGCCTATAAGACCACTCTAGGCGGCTCAGCAAAGGACAAAAGGGACCCCTCACCACTGCAGGAGTATACTGGATACCTTGAGTTGTGACCAGGTATATATCGGGACCACAAAACGCAGCATTCACACCAGAAACAAAGAACATGAGAGACACTGCAGATTAAAACAACTGGAAAAATTGGCAGTAGCTGAACATGCCCTAAAACAAGCTGGACATGAAATTCTATTTCAAAATTGTGAAGTATTGGACAACACCAGCAATCATTATGTTAGACTGCACAGGGAAGCCATTGAAATCCACAAACAGCAGCAGAGCTTCAACAAAAAAGAAGAAAGTTTAAAACTCAACAAAGCCTGGCTCCCATCACTGAAAAATACAGCCTGCAAAAGGTCAACAAACTCTCCCCAGCCACAAGGACCGGTGATCACTGCACATAAAAGACCAGCTAACAACACCCATCAATCACAGTGACAGATAATTTCTCCCTCTTATCACTATAATACACCCACAACAAAAAACATGCTGATCACCACAATCACCCATCTCCTGAAAAGGACAAAAGCTGATCCCACAGCTATAAATACTCAACTATCCAAACAAACTGCACCAGAGCACAGTTAGAGTTCTGACTCCTGTCCTTTGAAGATGCCAGCCACAGAGACTGGTGAAACATTAGGAAGAACAGCCTTCAGAACACAGTCAAAGAGTCCAAAAAACCCACAACAAGCACCAAATTAAGAAAAAGGAAATAACATTCTCAAATGGTCACAGAATGCAATTTGTAATCTGATGATGGTATGAACAGTGATAAGATTATACTTTCCTGCTGATAAATCTGTGTAGCAGTTAGTATCAGTCTCCCACATTACTTCATTGGATGAACTCAGCCTATGGAGAATTTCAGAATACTGTACCATGTTTCCTTTATTTCCCCAGGGCTCTCTCCATATGTGGATTGATATGTTTCCAAATGATGTCCCTGCACCATCTCCTGTCAACATCAAACCACGGCTTCCAATCAGGTAGCCAACAAGAGTGGGAGCCAGTTTCGAAACCGTCACTTGGGGTGGAGTGGGGGGAGGTGCAAATACAATGCTGCTGTTGCAGTAGCACCAAGATTTCTTCACACGCCTGAAACAAAATGCACAATTTTTGGCATGATTGATTGACAATCTAGTGAGCACTACAAAAAAATACAGTGGTCACATTTACTGGCTCTCTGCAGTTGGTTTGGTGCTGAGATAACATGTATCCAGTTGAGGGGCAACCTTATTAAAGTCTTAAGCCTGAAAGAGTTAGTAGGGCTGCAACTGTGGACAGACATAAGGCATATCTATCTGTAAGTGAGGCAAATTGTAATGCATTCACCATGAAGGTCTGCAGAGAGACTTGTTACGGTGGAAGCCACTTCTTACACCATTTTCCTGATTGAGTGCTCAAATTATACACTGCTTATGTGATGGGGTGCAAGGATGCATCCCTAGCAAGTTGCACACAAGTATTAGGTGGCCAGGATTGGGGCAGGTTTCATCAGTGTCTGGGCCCCAGCACACAAGTATTAGGTAGCCAGGATTGGGGCAGGTTTCATCAGTGTCAAGTAAGAGGGAGGGAATCCACACAGCTAAAGGAGATATGCCTGCCTGACAAGGAACAGCTGAAGGAGGCAGGGCCAGGGAGAATAAAAGAGCATGACTGGGAAGGGTTGTCACTTTTCTCTGATGCAGAGGATGTGTGGGAGGACGCAAGGTTGAAGAATGTTGGAAGCTCTATACCATCACTGGGCTTGTTTGCTTGCAACACAAGTCAGACACCAGAGAGTCCAGAAAATGTGCTTGGACAAGGCTAAGTTTGTCTCGAAACCACCACAGCCCTGGAGAGGCAAGTGGAGGAAGTAACTGGTAGAGACGAACTGCCAAGCCTGGCTTCTTTTGTTCATCTATACAAGCCTTTTCTAAAAGGTGTGCATCCTGGACGTATGTAGCCTCTGCTTCCCTGCCTGCTTTCCAGAACCTGGGGAATTCTAGTGAAGTTAACTGGGTCCCCAAATTGGCAAGTGGTGCCTGAGGGTTTAGAGGCAATAATTCAGCACTATCAGACTATGGGGCGAAAGGCAGGGGGAAATGATACTGTACTGCTAATAAAAGCTCTTCTGAGTCATGATATTCCCAGGGGACCCTGGTCCCACTAGCAGCCCAGGAGGGGTGTGTAGTGGGGCACATAGTACAGAATCACAGAAACACTGTAGGTACATTCACTGAACATGTCCATAAGCCCCTCTGCAGACCTTCACAGCAAACACACCCATGTTTTCCTCAATTCCAGATTGTGTGAGGTTGTGAAGCGTACCTGTGTCTGGGCATCATCACCAAAATTATAGCCTTCTATACTTTCAAGTTTAATTCCTTAATAGTGCCTGTGCCCTTCAGAGCCAAAACAAACAATAAACACAGGAGGATGTACAGAGGTTTGGGGACAAGGGAGTGCTACATTTGGGGCTCTGATGAACCATATATGTATGGCCTATGCCTGCTCTAGAGAGTGCTGAGGATCATTCAGTATAAATTTTGTGAAGCATGAGCATGCTGAGGTTGCTGCACTTGGCCCATTCACTGTTTTATACAGTTTCTAATTAATGGGGAGGTTTATATATAAAGAGGAAAGGGTGTGCATCCCTGTCTTCTCATTTATTTGACATTCTTGTGTTGTGTTCAGAGGGAAATCAGTCCCAGTGGAGGTTATTCTTTAATCCTTGTTTAAAATTCTGAGGACTTACCAAGAAAGACATTGTGTTTTATCCTGCTGTTATAGTTATTGTTTCATTTTTTCTCCAGTTATGAGCTGCGTGTCATTATTTGGAACACAGATGATGTTGTCCTTGATGATGTGAATCCAATAACAGGAGAAATGTCTAGTGACATTTATGTAAAAAGGTACCATAGCAGTGGGATTGTCACTCTTGAATTGGCCTTCTCAGCCACACTAGATGCTGTTCCAAGTCCTCCATACAGAGCACATTACCATAGTGAATGAAGGATGCCTACTATTACTAGTACCATAGCAGTGATGGGTTAACTTTAGATAGTCAAAAATGGAAATGCTATCAGATGAGCTGTGCCCTGCTATTTAAGAGTATAGAGATTTCTTTGATATTAGACTGACATCCCTACAGACAACTATTGTGTTTGCTATATCATGGCCAAAATCCTGTTTGCACAGCTCTACTGTGTAAGGCTGATGATGTCATCAGCTGTGGCCATTTTTCAGAAATAAAAACGTTCTAGTTCCCTTATCTAAAGGTCCCAAGGCTCTCATTAAATCCCTGTTGTCCCGTGGAATGTGTTGGGGGCTGTGGGACAGGAGGGGAGAAGATTAATTTCAAAAAAATTACCACCACTAGGATGACTTTACTAGTAGTGATGTGTTTTGCACTTGAAAAGCTGCACAAGCTTTTTTCCCCAGGGAATGGAATTCATAATATTCACTTGATCCACATGCTTGGAAGCTATGCATTGTTAAGTGTCTCTGGGAGAAATAAGATGGGGCTTTAGGGCCAGTCCTAGAACTAGGCAGAATGAGATAGTCACATCAGGTAGTGGAGTATGGGAACATGAGCAATGGTGGGCAGCTGGGGCACATGATATGTGTGTGGCAGGCAATGTTTCAGTTCTGACTTCAGTCAGTGGGAAAAATTTGCAACTGTGCAGTGGTAGGGATTCTATCATTTATTTTCAAATGCAATTGAAGCTTGACATTTTGCAGTCTGAACAATGCTGATCTCATATTGCTGTATCTTCCTTATTGAAATGATTTGTGCTGTTTTTTTAATGTTGCAAAAAGTAGGAGCAAAAGCTTTACACTAAGATGCTGGTAGATGCTAATGAAGTTTCTTCTTTAGTTGGATTAAAGGACTGGAGAAAGACAAACAAGAAACAGATGTTCACTTTAACTCATTGACTGGGGAAGGCAATTTCAACTGGAGATTTGTGTTCCGCTTTGACTACCTCCCAACCGAGAAAGAGATCACGTACAAAAAAAAGGATTCCATCTTTTCTCTGGAAGAATCGGAATTCCGGGAGCCAGCAGTTCTGGTTCTTCAAGTTTGGGACTATGATAGGATTTCAGCAAATGATTTTTTAGGTAATTTTTACCTGAACCGCAATGTTCACAGCACTTTAAAGCATATATTTTTTCTTTAAAAGTCTCTGGGGCTGTTTGGCAACAAGGGCATGCTGTTAATAATAGAAAAGAAAATACCAAAAAAAAAAAACCCATGTAAAGTTTCCAGTCTTCCCTCTGTTCTCCATCATTCGAAATGTGCCTTTCAGAATAGAGAGAGGGGTAATTTGTCAACCTCAAGGTATTTTTGGCCTACAGCCTTATTCAGCCTTCACCAGCATATAGTGAATGGTGAAGGATTATGGGAATTGTGTTGTCTTTCCCTGTTTTAGAGGCTATTAGCACTGTCTTCCCCCACCCTACACACCCACTGCCACCAAAATGGCTCATCTGATTTATGGAGTCTGGCAGAAACAGGAAAGGAACAGCTAGTTATTCTAATGTTGCTTCAGACTGCAGACCTAATGCCAGAGAAGATGCTGACATGTCTGTCAGCATCTTCTCTGTCAACCTCTTCCCTATAGTCCCTGTTTTCCACCCATGCTTTACAATTAGAAAACCCAGACCATTTACATCTAAATTCCACTAAAGGAGTGGAGGGGAGGGGGAGCTCTTAGCAATTCTGCAAGCAAAGTAGTTTTAAAACACTATTCTATGGCCTTTTATTCGCTGTTCCATATGCTTTGGATTCCATTCTAAGCACCTTGTTGTTTAGGTTACAAGGAAGCGAATCAAAGCAATGTGGCATGATGAATGCAGTTGTACAAATTAATTAAGGCAACAAGCTGTGTACTGTAAAAGGAAAACTGGCCTGCTCTAACTGTGTACAGTACTGTAAAAGGAAAACTGGCCTGCTCTACCATCTAGTGGCTACAGAAATGTAGACACCAGGCTTCTTTTCCCAGATCCTTTGTTACATTGATTTCACATTCAAGTCTGCTGAGAGATATCAGTTTCACTGAATCGATACAGTTTAGAGAACAAGGAGACTTCAGCTGTGTTCTCTTTAGTGCCACTTTTGGAATGGAGATCACTTGAGATTTCCATCTTTCTAGCACCCTCCTATAGGTTGTTCCACATCATCTGTCTCTCCTTACATAATATGAGGATCCAGTGTGGCGTAGTGGATAGAGAGATGGACTAGGATTCTTCCTATACGCTGTTCTTCGGTTCCACATCATCTGTTTCTCCTTGCATAATATGAGGATCCAGTGTGGTGTAGTGGATAGAGAGATGGACTAGGATTCTGGGGAGCAGGGTTTGAATACCTGCTTGGCCATGGAAACTCGTTGAGAGTGTGGAACTGGTAAAAGCTGTGAGGCCAAAAGAATCTTGGAGTGGCTGAGACAAAGCTAGACAAATGTATGAAAATTATATAATCTCTTTTTTTCTATTGCCTGTTTTGGCTTTAGAATTAGTACCATTAACCCCATGCAACTATTGGGAGAGATCCTTCTTGGATATATAGAGCTCTTATAACAAGAAACATACGCTTGTCAGCTTATCTAGCAGTGCCATGGATGGCAGAGATGAGCAGGGAGGTGTGAGGCTTGTCATGAATGAGAACCAAAAGAGAAAACAGGCACCAATGAGGATAAAGAAATAATCCACAGCCCAAGGAGACCTTATTGCTTTAGCAAGGCTCATCCAGAAAAGGAAGCCTTCTTATACATTTTCTTGTTTAAGAAAGACCCAATGGACAGCTGAGCAGGTGGAATCATTCCACGATCTAAAGTTATGTCATTGAGAAGCTGCTATCTTCAGTTCAGTGCTTTACCATGGGGGGAGAGGTTTACATATATCTTGCAGTTCCTGGTGGATTTATGCAAATTCACAGTTAAACCTTCCCAAAGATGGCCTGAGGGATGGGAGTTCCTGAGATCTGACTACCATGAATAGTTTTTTGACTCCACCCTACCTTAGAAGACAGGATCCAGCTTCTGTAATTTCTAGCTTCCTAGCATCTGCCATAGAAAGAAGTAGTTATTGATAAACTAGTGAATATGCTTTATCTATGCTTTGAATCTAGATTCTAAACATAGAAGGGGCCTCCTCAAAGAGTGGAAAGCATTGTGAGTACACTTGGGTTTCCCCCGGGGAACAACGTACAGTCGGCCAATCCTTTACTTCCAGGAGCCTTGCACTGCAAACTTGCTGAAGAGCAAAATGATCCAATGGTCCTTTTAGAAGCACAAGTGACAATAAATTTTAACATTTTGATTTGTTTTTAATTTTTACCTATATTCCATATACATCTATAATTTTAAATTGTGCAACACTCTGATATGAATAAAGCAAGGACAGATCTAGTTTCTGATCCTTGTTTCTCATTTCTGACTAATTTCAGACTTTCTGTTAATGTCATCTAATTTGTGTACTCCTTCCCTTCCCACTGTCCCTTAGCTGTTTCCCTGAGCCAGCTATACAGTATTGTCTATTTCTCAGCTTGCCGCTAATATGAACTGATATTTTTGTGTTCACAAAGGATTTTCTTTCAAGTAGGATCTACAGTGACTGCAGAATTCTCATGCTTTCTGCTTCTCTGAGTGGCATGGCTCATTTGATGTTGCAGACCTACCTTTCTACAATGGTTTTTCCAAACACGTGCAGTGTTATCTTATGTTAGGGCATAAGAAGACACTTCTTCTCCCCTTGGGAGAAACCCAAGAGATGAAGGGTCTCTGCCTTCAGCAAGAAGGGTTGAACTATTTCTCCTCCAGGCCTACTCTCTGAATCTGACCATAATGATATGAGACTGGATTAGGTAAATGTTCTCATATTTATTTAATATATTTTTTTCTGTTGCTGCTTCTCTCAATAAAAGCTGGAGGGGCTATATACAGTAAAGAAAAACAGTGAAAAGTGGACAAAATTTTTAAAGAAAGATGAGAATTAAGAGTAAAGGTGGACAATGAATAATACTGAACACTGCTCTAATGTTAACCACAACCCAAATGACTGTGATTCCTGAAAAATTAAAGAGCTGAATTTCAGCCACTTGCTCCAAATTGTGTATGAACAGCCAGTATCTGAAATTCTCCCTTCTCTACTTCTTGCTTTGTTTCAAGGGTCCATTGAGTTAAAGTTGAATGATATGGTGAGAGCTGCCAAGAGTTCCGAGCAGTGCACTATCAAAATGGCCAAGGAGAAAGCAGGACCCCGCTTTTCCATCTTCCGAAACAAACGAATGAAGGGCTGGTGGCCTTTCATCAAACTGAAAAGTCAGGAAGACATTGAGAGGGAGGAGAAGGAAGCTAAGCAGAAGAAAAAGAAGAAGAAGAAGAAGAAGTGGAGGAGCTCTGTAAAGCCAGAAGATGTTGAGTTTTCAGATCCTAGTGGAAATATCTTCATCTTAACGGTAAGAATTAGCATACAGACATAGAGAATAGACATTTGGAAGATTCTTTTAACGAATGTCCAGATACCAGAGCTGGGACTGAATTGGGGAACACGTCTTCAGTGAGCTGCGGCCCCTCCCAATATAGCAGCTAATACTCTCTGATAGTTTAGCAAACAAGCATTAAACAGACCTCAGCCTACTTCAAAACTAGACAAGATTGCCCAACCTGGAACAGAGGTTCGTTTTCTCTTTTCAGGCTTCCTATGCCTTTCAGCCTTCTTATGAGGTCTTAAAGAAAAGCCCTGCTCCTAGTTCTTTCTTTACTATTTTTTCTTCTTGTTGTGGAAATCCTCTGCATCACTAATGGACTTTGCTTTTGGAAAGCCAGTTTTCCTTTGCACCTTTCAAGTGTTAAAATATTATTATCTCAGCAGGAATTTGACAAAGTTGACAGAGAAAGCTCCTATCCATATGAACCAATTTTAAGGCAATGAGGCACTACTGATTGAAAGCTGCTGTATGTGTTGTCAATGCAATCGAAGGATACAGGGATGCCTTGGACAATGATATTCATGGTTAAATAGCAACACAAGGTCATAAAATGCAGCCTTGCAGTGGCGTAAAATGGAGAAGGCATGGTGCATTGTTAGGAAGTAACAGACAGCTTCGCTTTCCAGGTTGCACAACACTTTCTAAACAGCAGTCAGTTAGGGGCTCTTAAAGACTGCAAACTGATTTCTGCAAATTCTTTTATAGTAAATTTCCCCTATATTTTGGAAAAATAAAAGACATCAATCCAACAGCTGAAATGTTCTCTGTTCTTACTAGTGAATTAAATCACTTGACAGCTACTTTACCTCCTGTGACTTTACAAGTAAACTGTTTTCCCTGCTTTCCAAGGAAAAAATGTTTCAAGGGAGTCTTTTTTTGGCCTATCATCGATCCATTCTCATGAATGAATGAAAGTAAAGTTTTCTCTTGGTGACAGACTCTTGCGACTATGTCTTTACCACAGTGCATTTCTCTACAGGGGAAAGTGGAAGCTGAATTCCAGCTACTGACCATAGAGGAAGCTGAAAAGGCCCCCGTTGGTCTAGGGCGGAAAGAGCCGGAGCCCCTGGAGAAACCCAAGTAAGTATTTATACATGCACGTGAGTGGATTGGGAAACAGTCAGGTTATGCCTCTAACCTGCACCTTGTGTTATCTTCTTGCCCGTGCGATACCAATGAAAAGGAACAGAGTGTTTAGGATCATATTATTTCACCATATGAAGAAAGGGCTGACTGGAGGATTGGGATCAATTGTTTTGAGTGTGATTTTGCACCTGGGTGATCCTTGCACCAAAAGTTAAAGGGAAAAGGGCAAAAAAGAGGAGCCCTCATTTACCAATATATGCCCTTAAAAATCATGATTTCACTACAGCAGTGGCCCAACAGTGTTGAGAGTTAAACAGAATATATTAGTTTAATTGGAGCATAGTCTTCATTGACTCCCTGAAAGGATTTTCTGTTTTCTGGATAGTCCTACATCAAGACCAGAAACAGCATGTTTTCAAAACCAATAATAACAGAGAAGTAATGGATTCTGCCTTGTTTTGATTTGAGCTTTAGCATTTGGCTATTTCCAGCTTGTCAGTAGCCAGCAGCGTGTTACTTTTTGGTTACATTCTAATCCAAACCTATGCTGTTTCTCTTCCCTTCTCTCCTCTGCAGCCGTCCAAAAACATCCTTCAACTGGTTTGTGAATCCCATGAAAACCTTCATCTTTTTCATTTGGAAACGGTACAAGAAGTACATAATTGCACTGCTGATTATTGCAATTGTGACCGTATTCTTGATTCTCATTCTTTACACAATGCCTGGATACATCAGTGAGAAGATAATAAATGGTTAAGCCTCCTTTCCTTCTCAGTCTGTCTCCTCCATCCTCTAAGCTGAGATTTGATAAAGGAGGTGGACAGTGACTTCTGTACCAAAAATATTAGTAACACCCACAGTTCACTGACTGTGCCTGGAGCACTTTGAAAAGACATTTGCGCTGGAGGAGTTGGACTGCCTGCTCACATCTGTGATGTGATGACAAAATTAACTGAACACACTTTTGAATTATTTGATGAATAGCTGGGCTATTGTTAGCTCTGAAGGCTACTATTGTATTAATTGAACTGGTTCTGCAGTTTTAATATAAAAACTAATCAACTGTATCTTAAGAAGGAAAAACGGGAAGACTGCCAGTTGCAATAGGTTTAGAAGTATTGGATTCTACCCATATGAACCAGAATTTACAATTTTTGCACTGCTGTCTGCATCCTTAAATCATTAATCTGGTAGAATTATTTATTTATTTAATTCATGAATTTCACATAGTTGAAGCCATGCATGGCCACATCTTACACAAGATGGTGACAAGGATGTAGGAGATCTTTAAACAATTTTTATTGAACATTCAGTGACTGATGACCATGATGTGGCTGGGTATTTGTATGATAATACATGTTTAAAAACTATTGTGCAAGTGAGTCAGTTGAGCAATGTAAAAGGCACTCAGATTCTGAGGAGTGTCCATTTCATATTTGCTTATATCCATCTTATCATATACTTGGTGCTAAACAGAAGAGAGCAGGAGTGGTGTAGTTGGAAGAATGATGAACTGGGACTCAAGATACCTGGGTTTAAATTGCTGCTGGAAACACAAGGAAAGTGATAATGGTAAAGCCACTCATTAAATATTGTGCATACCTTGAATAACCTATTGAGGTTAAGTCAAATGTGACTTGACAGCACATAACACAGAAACAACAGAAGAGCAGGTTGCTGCAGTATGTGACATACCACTCCCCATATTGCACACAGACCATGTAAAGAGCCCCACTAAAGGCTCAATAAATCTGTTTTTGTTGGCTGCAAAAGTAGTGGAGGTATCAAAGCATCTGGCAAACTACTGACCATATGTAATCTGCATAGATAAACATATAGTGTAACCTCATCCACAGTTTCTCTGTAATTCAACAGTTAATGGTACAAAATTAAATGGTTCTTAATCCCCACATTGAGATGATGTGCTGCTACGCAGTCTTTATGGTGGTGCAGGACTAAACTGCTTGGAGAAGTATTCCCATGTCGAATCAACCATATAATGGATTTCAAAACTGCCTGCAAATTATAAGGGGCAGCAGATAAAGTTACACTGCTCTTCGCTGTGCATGAAGCAATGGTTTAACACTATCTGATGAAAGAATCATGTTTTCCCAGGAAAAGATGTGGCTCTCTATTGCAGGGACAATGTGATGTCTTAGCAACAGAAAATATCATTGTCTGGCATGTCCTTAATGCACTTCTGACAGCTATGTGTCTGCTGACTGCCCTCAATATTGTAACAAGCTACACTTGCTTTGACAAACTGTGTAACAGCGACTTTGACATAATTTTATTTTTGTTGTTCTTGCACAATCTAAACTGACTTTGTGTGCTACTGATTCCTTCAAACATTAAGGGGGACGATATGCACTTTTAAATAAACAATACCGCTACATTGCAAGTCAACAGATTTATTAATGTATTGAAACTATTTCTAGCACAGTATCCACATTTTAGGGCCAGAACACGCTGTGTATTTGATTGTGTATTTGATTGAGAGCAAAGCTGTGTATTTGATTGAGAGCACAGTTTGCTGTCCTCTGAAGATGCCAGCCACAGAGACTGGCGAAACGTTAGGAAGAACCATTTTCAGAACACGGCCAAGAAGCCTGAAAAACCCACAACAACAACTATTTGATTGTGGTTGTGGGCAGGATGGGAGACTAGCAACTTCCTTGTTCCTTCAAAAGAGTAACTGTAGGAGTAGTGCCAGAGCCGTGAGACATTTGTGAGAGATATTTTTCCTTTGTGAGGAAGAAGTGATGCTCCCTCCCCTGTTCCGTATGTACAAGTGGTCTTAGCTGGCAGACAGCGCTTGTGTTAATGCTGGCAAAGGGATCATGTCCTCCACTACACAAGAGGGCAGCCACTCTAGCAAGCACAAGACAGATTTTGTTCCATGCACAACTTTGTAGTCCCATAGAACTGAATGATCAGAAATCCCAAGCTCGAACCCATGTCCTTGGTGCATCCCCAGTTTTTGTTGCCTCAGGTAGCCATCTGACTAGGCCTGACAACACATCAAACTCTCCTGAAACTTGCAGTTATTTATAATATTGTTGCAGGCTGGGTAATTATTTGTGTCACATTTTGCCGATCAATATTCCCTTTCTGTAGTCACTCAGCTGCACTACCCTTGGTCATCATGCGGTGGTAGAATCCAGGGAAGAATTGGGATGTAATGAAGGCTATGGAACTTGACTGGAACTGTATTACTCCCAACATTCCAGACCTGGGTGTGCTTCTCAGAATCTAACACAAGAAAGAATCCCCAAGACTAAGCACTTAGAGCTAGTGCACCAACCTTGTGAGGGACCTGCCACAATAAATACTAGAAAATCCTAATAGCTGGTCAAGGCAACGACTGGTTTTAGTACCACAAACCGTCTCTGTGAAAAATCCAGGCAGCTGATTAAAATGATCTTTATAGTTTTTAAAGACAAAGAAAGTTTAAAGGTGCAAACATTCCAAACAGATACAAGAAACATATTTTTCAAAATGGAGGCGCAAACATATAGATGGGTTTGAAAGCATTCAAGAGGAACACATGAGAAGTTAAAGCTAATCTACCCGATCGAATACGCACACCTTAGCAGAGAGATAGAATGTGTCGTTCTGGGACATGCACAGATAATGATGATGATGATCATAAGTGTCATCGTTTTAGAACCACAGCGCTTGGAAGGGACCCTGTGGATTATCAAGTCCAAAGAGATAGGATATGTCGTTCTGGGACATGCACAGATGATGATGATGATCATAAGTGTCATTGTTTTAGAACCACAGAGCTTGAAAGGGACCCTGTGGATTATTAAGTCCAGCCCCTGTCGAGGCACAGTAAAAAATGAACTTCCAACTTCTGCAACCAGATATCTCAAATTGAACTTCCAACTTCTGCAACCAGATATCTAAAACATTAAGCTATCCAGCAGTTGTTGCAGGATTGCTCCATTTTAAGCATGTATATTCCAACATGTGTAATCACTGGGATTAAATGAAGCAGAACTGTCTGCTTAAGCTGCTTCACTCTCCTGCTCCTCCTAGCTTATTCAGGGAATGATTAAGCATTGCTCATTGTCTGGGAGCCAGAGAGATGCCAACCAGACAAATCCTCCCTGCAGTTTCAGCTCGATTGATCCATTCAGGGAGCTGCCTTATGCACTTACTGAAGCCTCAGGTGGGCATCAAACCCCTCTCCAGCCCAGCACAGTTCCACCTGTTGCCAGTGGAATCATTCCCCTGCATGGGGGAGGGGGCAGGAATGCCAGATCAGAGAGAGGAGGAGAAAAGAAGGAGTGGGGGGTTGGTGTGCCTTAGCAGAATTGGTGCTAGAGGAAATTGTTGGGCTCTACAGAGTTCCGTCACTGTGTGCACACACACACAATCTTGGGAAACTGAAAGCTTCTTCCTGTTCTCCCATGGAGGGGTGGTGGTGGCACTGGTAGAATGTTAAATATCTCACTTACCTTGAAAGCCCTACTAGGATTGTTATAAGTCAGTCCCAACTTGACCGCATGTAACAACAACAAATATATTAGGCTGCAATTAGAACTATGAGATCTCATCTTGGAATGAAAGCAGAAGTCTCACAGGGTAAACCTTGAACTTCAAGAAGGTCTTGAGCTGAGTCAAAATGTACACTTTTTTTTTTTTGAGCCTTTTACACAACTTTATAATTATGTTCAAGGACATGACCCAAAACAGGAGATTTCCTGGGGATACAGAAAAAGAAAACTTTTGCAAATAATTATTTTTTAAAAAACCATCAGCTCAGACCCAGTTTATTAAACCACCATGAAGTGTAAACAGTTCTGCTTCCCCCCTCCCGCCAGTTCACAATTGGACACAAGTTGTTCTGTACACTAACACTAGCTCAGATAACATTACTGTAGTACGGTTTCCTTGCCTTTTGGAATTTGCACTTTGGTTAGGCGGGTTCTCTTACATATTTCTGTTATTGCCTCATTGCATTTCTTCAGGTGGTTGAAAGCCAATATGTACAAAGATGTATCATTGCCATTACTTGCATTCACAGATTTTGGGCAACATGAGATGCTGAAGTAATCTTGATCACTGAGTAATACAGTTTCTTGCCAACTGACAACAGAAAACGTTTAAGTTGAGCATGGGGAGTTAATTTGGATTACACCTTCCAACCAAAGGAGCAACTTTTCCCAAATTCTGAGAACTACCTATCTTCATATAAACACCTGTGACTAAGGACTACTAGCCCAAATGCAGATGTAGGTCCACCTGCTGCCTATTTAAATATACATCTTTAGCTTGCTTAAATTAAGGAGTGATTGACTAATAATACAGTTCAACACTGTGACGTTCTCCACTTCAACATTTGAACACCACTTGACCCTTCCTACATTTTCTCATGCTTAAAACAGGAATTCCCATCAACATACAGTATCTCTTTCATTACTTGGAAACTTTAGATGTTAGTTTCCCTCCAAAGCAGATGATTTTAAAACATGAGGAAGTATCCATACGGTATCTTATAAACTTGTCATTTCCTGGCAGGAGGCATTCGTGTGAGCAGCCCACATGTGAAAAACCTCTTAAGTTATGACAAAAGGGGGTGAAAAAAAACTTATTTCCAGGCATTCTGACAGACACGGTAACTTCCAGGTTTTTCACAGAGCTGCTATTTTGGACAAGTGGTCAAAAATTATGGTAGGGTGACTGCAGGAAGATTTTATCACAGAAATGGCAGTGGGTGTGAGCTGAGCGTCAGAAGACACTTGGGATATTGTTTAAGAGTTTCTGGTAACTTTTCATAAATAGTGATTGCCTCGACCCCTACATAGGATTATAATAATGTGGCACTTAGGTCTTTAAACCTAACAAAACAAACAGCAGGATAACATTTTTGCATGCTTCTAAATGATGTTAATTTTGTTGGGAGGCACTATACTGTCAATATAGTCTAGGCTTTGTTGTCACTTAAACATTACCTGCACAAGAACAAAAGAGGAGTCATACTCAAACAAAAGGCCTATCCAACTGTCATAGTGGCCAACTAATTGTCTTTGAGAAGCAGGATACGGGTGCAATCTTCTGATAACATTTTTGCATGCTTCTAAATCATGTTAATTTTGTTGGGAGGCACTATACTGTCAATATAGTCTAGGCTTTGTTGTCACTTAAACATTACCTGCACAAGAACAAAAGAGGAGTCATACTCAAACAAAAGGCCTATCCAACTGTCATAGTGGCCAACTAATTGTCTTTGAGAAGCAGGATACGGGTGCAATCTTCTGCTTGTGGGAGATGCTGTATAACTAGCATGAACAGTTATATTGGCAGCTATCATTGTATTCTGCAGGTTACTGTATTTGTGGTGTTTCTGTTACAAAGGTAATTGCCTTATTTTTACTGAATTTTAAAAACTGAACACATGGCTTCATATGCTATTGTAATTATAACTTGTAAACCACTCAGGCTGTAGAAGTGAAAGATAGAATAAGGGAAAATGTATCAGATAGGGAATGTGTTTAAAATGTCCTCCTTTGCTAAATGTCCTCCAGATGCTTGCATTTGGAATTACATATAGGCCTGTGTTTGAATAAATAAATCGTGTGCTTCATCCATGTATTTCTGGCATACTTTACAAGATAATCTAAAAATTGCTGCTGTGCTTGAGGCATGCCAGGCCCACTCACATGCCTTGTCTCTGTAGATACATGTTATGAATAAAATGAAGTAGCTAATTCAGCATGAGACTGGATGGATAACATTGTATGTGGTTTCATTGGGGCAAACATTTTAAATAACTAGTTCAGCGATGGCGAACCTATGGCACGCGTGCCACAGCTGGCATGCAGAGCCCTTTCTGAGGGCATGCAAGCCCTAAATTGCTGGATTGCTACTCCTCCCATGCAGCCAAACCTGAGAAAGTGGCTGCAGCCGCAGTGCTGGCGCTTTCAAGGGCGGTGGGCCAAGATCTGGAGTAGCTGGCGGTGGATCTGGAGTGGGGTCTCAAGGCACCTCCATGCCTAGAATTCCCCCTTCTGCCGCCACTCCTGGTTCCGCCACCGCGGCACGGCATTGGTTCCCCCTCTCCCCCAGTTTGGGTACTCGGGCCCAAAAAGGTTCGCGGCCACTGCCCTTCAAGGGCGGTGGGCCAAGATCTGGAGTTGCTGGCGGTGGATCTGGAGTGGGGTCTCAAGGCACCTCCATCCCTAGAATTCCCCCTTCCGCCGCCACTTCTGGTTCTGCCACTGTGGCACGCCATTGGTTCCCCCTCTCCCCCAGTTTGGGTACTCGGGCCCAAAAAGGTTCGCCGCCACTACTCTGGTTGGAATATTGCCAAACCACAAAAACTTGTGAGGATTTGCATTTTTCAAACAGGTGTCAAGAAGGCCGACAATACTAACAAATCCAAACTGGATAATCCACAGAAATATAGCTTCTGAATTCAATGCGCAAAAAGGCACCAATGCATGAATTGCACATTCACTTTGTCTTATCACTCTTACAGCTGATTAATCAGTCCCAGAACCTTTATATATATATATATTCCAAATCACTCAAAGGCTGTAATTCCAAAAAGGAGAGCTTTACATTTCTGGAATAAAATACAGAAATAATATATAATGCCTGTTACAAATAATGCACCTTTCCCTCCTCCACACGTTTGAAACACCATTACTGAAATCAAGGTAATTAGGGCCTAATTGTTGCTTCCTGGAAAAACAAGAGGCCTGCTTGCTTTCTACTCTTTTTCTCTAACCCGACATGTGCCCTTTCTTTAAGAGACCCCAGACACCAGGCTAAAGTAATTAGTCATGGAGTTATATGTGTTTAAGACACACACGTGTGTGAATGTTTGGACAGGAAAAGAGAGGCTGACAGGACAACTCTGTGTGTCTCAAGTAGGATCTGAAGGGACAGCTCTTGGTTAGCTGCTGTTCTGCCATTCAGATGTCTGTGGCCTCCTCTGCTTCCTTTAACTGCTTCCTCTCAATCCATTCTTGTTCCCCTTTTTTTGTGGGCTGACATTCTGACTTTGTAGTTTAGCTGGGCAGGCCAGCACATTGCCCGGTGCCTCCACTTTATTTAGCAAGATGCCTGAGTTAATTTCAGTCCAAGAGTTCATAGCTCAGACCCAAGAAGATCTGAGCTCTCCAACAACCTCCTCCTTTACCAGCCATATGGGCAAATGCAGGAGCACTGTTTACAGCCTGGAAGAGGTAAGAGGGAAAGAGGGATGAGGCAGTTGCTTTTCTTTTTTTTATAAAGCTGAGCAGTGAGGAATCCATTTTGGGATCCCCTGAACAGAATTTACGGTTGAATCTTCTTTGCTCTGTCTATACAAATGAAGAACCAAGACTGTCTTGCAGGTAAGACAAACTGAAGAACAAAGGTATGTTTAAAAAAAAAAAAAAAAAACTTTTAAAAGGATTCTTATCTTACTTTCCCCTCAAATGAGGAAGCTCAAAGTGACCTGTATTTTATCCATTGAACTCAACAGAACACAAAAACTTTAACATGTCAAAAAGCCAAACAAAACCCAAAGTGTTTTTCTGACAATATTGAAAATCCATACAGTATAGCAATTAGAAAATAGCCATCTCGTTATACCAATTGGAATCTTTCTTCCTAAACTAGGAGGCTCCATTTGCCTTCTGAATGGCTGACGAGTCAGATTTAAAGGGAGAGAGCAGAGAGAGGCTTCCAGGATCTTGTCAATAGGAAACCCTTCTCTCGGCCTTGATGAATTTCACCTCACAGAAAGATTCCATAGCAGCACCATTTAAAAGAATGAGCTCTGCATTTGGATGAAGACGTTTATTAAGATACGTAACTACTGTTCTGCTTTGAGCTAGGAAGCAATGCTGAAGATTTATTCTCATTTCTATGCAATCACCACTAGCGGCAAGAAGTTTTATTCACAATCTATGTGCTTAGAGGAAGGTTCCACAAGCATGCTAAAGATTGAAGTCCTATGGCCACCTACCTGAGAGTAAGCATTGATTTCAATGAGGGGCACTGTTGTCTGTGTGAATTATTTGCTTTGCAGTGAAGCCAACCAATTCCATTGTCTCTTTGGTTTATGGTGAATCCAAACAATTCTTACAGTGCATCGTCATAGGTTGCTTTTTCAAAATGCAAGGTGTTGTGGAGGACTATTGGAAGCATTTTCTAATTTTCCTCAGTCTGTCAGTTTAAACTAGTTCTGCCCTTCACATTTTCTCATTTCCTCTTTTGAAATCTGTTTTGAAATCTTACTTTCTGATTTCCAAATACAGGAATCACTGTGGTGATGGATGTGATAGCCAGGTTGTCATACACGGAAATGTGGTTAAACTCCCTTAATACAGGATGTAAAAACAGAATGAAAGCTAGAAACAGGAAACTGTTCAGAAATAATAATAGTTTTCTAAGTAAAAATAAACCCTTGTAGGGTTAGGAAAACAGAAATGTCGCATGAATTGAAACAGTTACTTTAAAAAGCTGTACAATAATAACTAAAACAATATCTGGAACCTGCTTTGGAGGAGGAGGAAGGAACACTTTAACCGCTCCAAATGTGAGGATCACACAAAGTGTTTTGAATATCTGCAGGAAATGACTAGATTGAGTAACTTTGTGAGATGGGCAGCAGGGTTGTGGAAAGGATTGCAGTAATCCAAAAATGGTTTTGACCCTGAGGACATTTCCTGAAAACATCATCAACCCAACATGTATTGATGTGTTGCAACTGTTAACACTGTACTGCTGCTAGCCCTGTTCTGTGATAGGGAGGAAGAATGTTTTATTCAAACAGTGTAGCAAAGGCTCTGCTGTACGAGTTTAGGAACATAATTACTTTTTATCTGTTGCTCTAAGTGGGAATAACTACTTTTCTATGAGAAGGGCAGAACCGTAAAATAGATTTAATTCCCAGCCCAGGAAGTAAGATTGATCGATTCAAACTGTAAGTACCATCAAGCAAAATTTGCCCTCCCTTTTTGATTTTATTTGCCCACTAAATGAAAATTTTGTTTGCCAAATGTCATTTTTTTCCTGTCATATTTTATTTGTCCTTAGTAATCAACAACTTGTTGACAATTTAATGTTATCTGATTTTTAACTATGCATAAATCAAAGCGAAAAGAGAGGGAATGTGCTTCTGTAAACCTTGACACATTTCCCATTTTTTCAGATAGAGAAACAACCAAATGAAATATTAATAACATGTTGCAAAAAATGGGATCTGTTTGGCTGTGTCCTGCTATATAACATGTTCAATGTAACAGTTAATACAAATGTTGTCATTCTCTAATCTTGATCGTAACATCTCTTCCAAAGGAATCAGCTGATTTGGCTTGAATGAAGACCTCTCAGGGAACCACATTTCACACCGAGCCTTGATTTGTCACCAGAAAATCCTATCAGCAGTCATGCTGCTGATCATATTAGCAAAATGCCATTGAATTTCCAAATTGCTATTGGATTTGGTGATCAAGGTTTGAATTTAGCTGTTATAATAACAATTGAGTTTAGCAGCCAAATTTTCATTAGATGAGTAAGTAGGCCAATGAAATCAGAATAGCAGCATATTTCCTGGATATATAACTAGCTGGCCAATAGAAAGAAATTCTAATGCCACAGTAAATTTATTAATAATAAGCCCTAAACTATAATTTCACCAAAAAAGTGAAGAAGCTTTTTGTATTATATAAAACTCATTCTTGATATTAATTAAAACAACAAAGTTGGGATGGGGTAAGTACTGTACTGTATTATGTTGAAACCAGGCATCATGTATTTCTCTTCCCCATTAGGGAACAGCCATTTTTGTCCCCACAACCCCCATCCAGCCCTGTTACAGGTACATCCTGAAATCTGTTTTCCATTTAGCAGAATCTAACCCAACAGTATGTGGGTATGAAGGTAAATGTAAAGGTTCCCCTTGACATTTTAGTCAGTCGTGCCTGACTATAGGGGGCGGTACTCATCCCCGTTTCCAAGCCGTAGAGCCAGCGTTTGTCCGAAGACGGTATCTGTTGTCACGTGGCCTGCATGGCTATACATGGAACACTGTTTACCTTCCCACCGAAGTGGTACCTATTTATCTACTCGTATTTACATGCTTTCGAACTGCTAGGTTGGCGAGGAGCTGGGACAAAGCGACGGGAGCTCACTCCGTCACGTAGATTCGATCTTACAACTGCTGGTCTTCTGACCCTGCAGCACACAAAGGCTTCTGCGGTTTAGCCTGCAGTGCCACCACTTGGGTATACTTGGATATAATTTGTGTTTTGTGATTTCATGAGTGGGGAAGGAAATACATGTTTAAGACCTCTTTTTTTCATGCTTTTAGGCCTTGGATTCTGATCGAATGGTTCTTCATAAAATGAGGAAAGCTGTGAAAGCAGAGCACACATGTGGACAAGGTTAGAGCACAACTACTAACAAAAGAAGGGGTTGTGATATGAACTGCCAGGTCTGGAGGACCTGAGAAATGACTTCACACCTCCTTTCTTCGCTTAGAAGGATCCTTATTTAGAAAAGAGTTGGATGATACTACAAGAAATGATGGCCGCATTGAACACCTTGCCAGCGTCTCCCCTCTTTGGCAGGGGATCAGCATCACTGTCAGAGCTTGAAAGGCAAAAACAACACACACATAAAGATGCACATGCACACACACACAAATGCATGCACATTCACTCATGCACCCACACACACACAGTATGAGAGAGAGAAGAGTGAGTTTAGCATACTGTTTATTAGTAAGCTGACATTTTGTCCTGTGCAGCTTAGAGGCCTGGCCTATTAACACCACATAGACCTACCTTCCCACAAGGACAGGTTGATACAGGTGGACCATCTGCCCATCTGTATGCCACCATCCACAGCAGGCCAGCCTGGTCTACCCAGGTTTGGTTATATCTCTCCAGGGCTGCCTCTGTGAAGACTGGTCCACCAATAACCCGTCTTCTGTGCCCCTTGTGGTCTACCAAAAAGTCATTTAACTTGGATTCATGCACTACTGTGCCTTTTCCAATGGCAGTAGATGAGATGACCAGGCCAATCAGGTCTGAGGGAATGATGCAGTCAGGAGGCAAAGCTCATATTGCCTCGCCCTTCTTATAGCCCTGATCATTTTGGTCAATTTGTTGCTGCAACTGTAAAATAAATCAGCGTATAAAATTATTGCTGATCTACTGCACATCACTCAGAGATTGACCAGTAGCTTGAGATCAACCTTCTGCTTTCACCCATGACTTTAAAGGGTTATTTTCACCCAACACTGTCCTTAATCCATAAAAGTACAGGAGTCTTCTTAGAACTGTGGATTCAGGAAGTAAATAGTAATTTGTTTGTTTGTTCAAAACAAATCCTGCAACAGGCTCCTAAAGAGAGCAACTGCACTCCAGGATGTTTCACTGTCACTCACATTCTGTTTTCTTTGTCCTTGTTCAAATTTTGTTGTTGCTGTTTAGTCATTAAGTCATGTCCGACTCTTCGTGACCCCATAGACCACAGCACAGCAGGCCCTCCTGTCTTCCACTGCCTCCCGGAGTTGGGTCAAATTCATGTTGGTTGCTTCAATGACACTGTCCAACCATCTCATTCTCTGCCATCCCCTTCTCCTCTTGCCTTCACACTGTCCCAACATCAGGGTCTTTTCCAGGGAGTCTTCTCTTCTTATGAGATGGCTAAACTATTGGAGTCTAAGCTTCAGGATCTGTCCTTCCAGTGAGCACTCAAGGTTGATTTCCTTCAGAATGGATAGGTTTGAGCTCCTTGCAGTCCAAGGGACTCTCAAGAGGCTCTTCCAGCACCACAATTCAAAAGCATCAATTCTTTGGTGGTCAGCCTTCTTTACGGTCCAGAGCTCACTTCCATACATGGCTACTGGAAAAACCATAGCTTTGACTATTCAGACTTTTGTTGGGAAGGTGAAGTCCCTGCTTTTTAAGATGCTGTCTAGGTTTCTCATTGCTTTCCTCCCAAGAAGCAGACATATTTTAATTTCATGGTTGCTGTCACCATCTGCAGTGATCATAGAGCCCAAGAAAGTAAAGTCTATCAGTGCCTCGTATCTTCCCCTTCCGTTTGCCAGGAGTTGATGGGACCAGTGGCCATGATCTTAGTTTTTTTGATGTTGAGCTTCAGACAATTCTTTGCGCTCTCCTCTTTCACCCTGCTGAGTCTTCCAAACTTGCTGGCATATTGAGTGTAGCACTTTAACAGTGTCATCTTTTAAGATTTTAAACAGTTCAACTGGAATGACATCACCTCCACTGGCCTTTTTGTTAACCATGCTTTCTATGGCCCACTTGACTTCACTCTCCAGGATGTCTGGCTCAAGGTCAGCAGCCACACTATCTGGGTTGTCCGGGACATCCAAATCTTTCTGGTATAATTGCTCTGTGTATTCTTGCCACTCTTCTTGATGTCTTCTGCTTCTGTTAGGTCCCTACCATTTTTGTCCTTTAATATCTCCAATGTTCTTGAACAGATCTCTGTTTTTCCCTTTCTGTTATTTCCCTCTTATTTCTTCACACTGTTCATTTAAGAAGGCCCTCTTGTCCTCTTCTTGATGCTTTTGCTTCTGTTAGATCCATACTATTTTTGTCCTTTATCATGTCCATCTTTGCACAAAATGTTCCTTTAATGTCTCCAATTTTCTTGAACAGATCTCTGGTTTTCCCCTTTCTATTATTTTCCTCTATTTCTGTGCATTGTTCATTTAAGAAGGCCCTCTTGTCTCTCCTTGCTATTCTTTGGAAGTCTGCATTCAATTTTCTGTAACTTTCCCTATCTCCCCTGCATTTTGTTTCCCTTCTCTTTTCTGCTATTTGTAAGGCCTCGTTGGACAGCCACTTTGCTTCCTTGCATTTCCTTTTCTTTTGGATGGTTTTTCTTGCTGCCTCCTGTTCAATGGAGGCAGCAACAAAACAATCAAATTTAAAAGCAGTTTAAATACACTACCCATTATATTTATCACATAATGTCTGAAGATAAACTTCCATTCAGAATACATTAGCGCCATCAATGGCAACCAGTGAGAATGGATGCTTTTGCATGTCCGTTTCTGGGAACCAAGACCAAGGATACCATTGCACATATGCCCTGTTCATGAGCACAGGCAGTGTGAACAGCATGCTAGACTAAATAGGTTTCTGGCATTATCTGAGTACATGGCTCTTTTTGTTTGTATGAATTCTTCAGTCATTATTTCTCACTGAGAAAGCATCACCACACCATTCCCTATTAGAAGCTAATTTTGCCCCGTTCCTTGCTCTTCTTCTGATGACAGATGAAGACTTTTTTTTTAAAGTGGCCCTTTACCAATCAAGGTACTTCTCTTTCCTAGTGGATGGGCTGCCCCTGATTATTTTAAGTTGAATTATCAGTACCGTTTTACTGACTTGAAATAGTTGTTATTTTAATTGTACAACTAAATTTAAGTCTATTTGAATGTTTGCCATTTTACTGTATTTTATTCTGTTATGGTTTTACATTTTCCTATAAGCCTCCTTTGGTCCCAATTTTGGGAGAAAGGTGGTCATGAAATCAATCAATCAATCAATCAATCAATCAATCAATCAGTCAATCAGTCAATCAAAAGTAGTCATTTTAACAAAGGATGACCATTTGGCAGCGCGTCACTCAATAAATTACAAATGAAGAAGTCCATTCTTAATTGTGGTCTGTAGAGTGAACATTTTTACATCCCCAAAGCTCATTTAGGTTAGTATCAGACTCCATTGATTTCAGCAGTGCTTATTTTATTTTATAAATAATACTCAAAAATAAACACTAGTGAGATCAATGGGACTTGATACCCATTGACTTGAGAAATACATATATCAGATAGAGATGTACATGAATATTTAAACCACACTTTGCTTCTGCAGATCTTCTTAGCCATCTGGAAGCTCATATTGCTGCCCAGGAGAAATTTTCAGAAAACTACCAAATCAACAGAGATGAGAAGCTAGCTGAAGCTTTTATCTCCTTTGCTTCGTTTTCACGGAAGCTGCTAGATGCTGTCAAGAACCTGGTATGAAATTCTTCCACACGTGTATCTGTCAGAAAAATAGTTGCATGGTGATATTCCTACCTTCTACTCTTTCCCTAAAGAAAGGAAAGGCTATTGGAAAGTCTTTAAAAATTGATGAGAAGCCCAGGATCCTATCTGGAGTATAAGGATCTTTGCTTAAGAGTTCCCTCCCCCATCATCAGCCCCCTGTTGGGTGACTGATGGTAACAGCTTGTTCTTCAACCAATTTTGCAAGCATTACAAGACTAGGCATGCAGATCGGAGCTTGCTAGAGTGAGGTGAGTGCTTACATGATTGCCCTTACACAGTCCTGAAATGCAACAGGATACTGACCTTTGCCATTGCTCACCAAGAGGAATGTAGGCATGTAAATATTCTGACAGATTTATTCACAAGCAAATTATATTAAAGCCTTTTGGCTAAAACTGATATATAATTATTTTATGTATTCTTGAAGGCTTTCATGGCCGGGATCTGATAGTTGTAGGTTTTTCAATCTGTTTGGCCATGTTCTGAAGGAACAAACATCCCAAAAAAAACCTACAACAACCATCATAATAATTTTATGTTAATTTCATTTTTTTAAAAATTATTTTCCTACCTTTTAATTAAAATTTGATTTCCAAGGTAGCTTACAATTTTAAAAAGTTTTTTTTTCTAAAGTCATAGTAGCCATAGTTAACTGCAGCAAAACCAACACTGAGTTCTATAGTAGTCAATAATTGTAGATTACAATTTTATTACAGTAATCTATTGCCCACTATGCATAATGTGTTATCCTGAGCTAGGGATGCACCTGGAGACTACAAGACACCAAAATTAAAGGCAAATAAACAAATACTAAATACTAAGAATCATGTGCCGTCAAGTCAGTTCTGATGTATGGCGACTGTTTTCTGGGTTTTCCAGGCTGAGTATGCTCAGAAGTGGTTTTCCATTCCCTTCTTCCGGGGGTGCCCTGGGACTGTGCAGCTTGTTCAAGACCACACAGGCTGGCTCTTCTCTCTGGAGGCACTGTGGGGAATCATCCTTCTAACTAGATACCTAAACCACTGAGCTATCCAACCAACTGAAATATGCTATAAACAAATAATAATCCATTGAAACTAAAGAAGTTCTTTATCTCATAGTTGCAATTCAATAGCAGCTGAGTGGCCTTCAACAAAATGTGTCACAGGCAAGGGGCTAACTCTTGAATCAGAACTAACAGTAGGGGCACAGCCATCTGGAAGAACAATATATATTTTAACACTGGTCATTATGAAAATCTTAAATCTCCAGCATTCTGTTCCCCAGTGAAACCCATGTGGAAAAGAATGCTCTAACCTTTTTTTAAAAAATCATTTAAATATGATGAAAGGATAAGCACTCTACCATATGAACTTAATTCAACTTATTTTTTCTTCCCCAGTTGCTGAGTTTATATCACAACATTAACTTTTCCCTAGGCTCACTGGTTAAGGGTGATCTCAAAGGAGTAAGTATATACTGAAATTATATTTCTCTTTGATGATTACTGTAAGTCTTTCATTTCTGCTGCCAATATGTTGTCAAGTTAGTCTCATCCCTACTCTTGGTTGTGTTTCAGATTCTTAAGAAAGGTGTTGGGTGTGCATATTCTTTATGGGTCGTGGGCATAGCTGAATGGTTCTTTAGGTTTAATCACTGTCTCCAGTTCAATTCACTTTAGTCTTTCTTTTCTACAGACATTGCTGACAGAAGCAGGAGGAGACAGGATGGGATAATGAGGGGAATTTTTGTTTTTCTCTCAAAGACCCAGTCGAAAAAAGCAAACACCCCTCTCCTGCTGCAGTGGCTGTTCTGCTAACTCCTTTTAAAAAATCAAGCCAAGCCCACCCCCATTGTATAAGCACAGGAGGGTTCGGCTTTCCAAAGGCAGCCTCCCCGTGCTGGTATTGGAAATTAAACACTTCCATGGTGCCAAGAAATTGTTTAGTTTGCCTATATCAAATTCTTCAGTCTTTCATTTCTGCTGCCAATACGTTGTCAAGTTAATCTCATCCCTACTCTTGATTGTGTTTCAGATTCTTAAGAAAGATGTTGGGTGTGCATATTCTTTATGGGTTGTGGGCATAGGTCAGTGGTTCTTTAGGTTTAACCACTATCTCCAATTCACTTTAGTCTTTCTTTTCTACAAACATTGCTGACAGAAGCAAGAGGAGACAGGATGGGATAATGAGGGGATAATGAGGGGAATTTTTGTTTGCTTTTCTCTCAAAGACCCAGTTGGAAAAAAAGCGAACAGCCCCACCTCCTGCTGCAGTGGCTGTTCTGCTAACCCCTCTTAAAAAATTAAGCCAAGCCGACCCCCATTGTACAAGCACAGGAGGGGTCGGCTTTCTAAAGGCAGCCTCCCCATGCTGGCATTGGAAATTAAACACTTCCATGGAGCCAAGAAATTGTTTAGTTTGCCTATATCAGAAAGTGGCTCTCTTATTAAGCGACAACAATGTTGGCAAAATGAATGAGGAAGGCTTTCTTTGGTCCATTCCCAGCAATCACACACAGTGGAAATGAGTCAAAGCAGAGCGATCCTACCTGCAACAAAAAGTAAAAGCCCATTGACAGGGAAGGAACACTCTGGCAGTGGGCTGGTCTGTTCCAGCAAAGATTTCTGATTGCCGTCCAAACAGTGGGCTGAAAGCCCATCTGATCACACTTTCACGGATATATAAAATAAAAACAGATTTTCCCCCTCCATAGAGAAGTAGCATAATCATTTAGGAATTTGGGCAGGTACTGGATCAGAAGAAGAAATAATAAGCAAAGATGGGATTTACTAGGTGTTGTGTTATCTCTTAATAGGACTTTAAAAAGCCTTTTGAGAAAGCCTGGAAAGACTATGAAAGCAAACTGTAAGTTGGACTGATGTTACTCTTTCTTATTAAGATAGTAATAATATTTTAGAGTTTTTCTTAATAATATTGGGTTGCACATATCCATTAATGAACACTATCTTATTTCCTCTTTGAGTTCAAAGATAGAAAAAGAAAAGCGGGATCTGGCAAAACAGTATGGAATGGTGCGCACCGAGGTTGTGGGAGGAGAAATTGCTGAGGAGATGGAAAAAGAACGAAGAATGTTCCAGCTGCACATGTGTGAGGTGAGGTAAATGGGTTTTTCCCACCCTGGCTGTTTTCTCCATGGGTATCACTCCGTGTGAACAAACTGCATCATTACACATGATGCTATACAGGCAGTCAATGCCCATATGTAAAAGAAAGTTCTGTCTCCAAAAGGAGCTTATGTAAGGAAGAATAAAGTAACATCTGAATAGGGGAAAATAGTAAAGACAGAACTATACAAGGCTGTGTTCAGTAACTTTTCCCTCAAATGCTGTTCACATTAATTTGTAATTATTTTCTCAGAGCTTTGCTATGGTTTTCCTGGTCTCCAGACCAGGAGAGGAATCTTAGAAAGATCAGCATTGGATGAATATATAATTTAATTTGTGAGGAAGATTCATTTATTTATTTAATTTATATCCTGCCCATCTAGACCAAAGTCTACTCTGGGCAGCTAACAACATACAAGAATAATAAAATAAAATAAACAGCATTTAAACCATAAGGATAACAATAAATTAAGTATTGACAGGAGGGAAGGCCTGCCTAAAGAGCCAGGTCTTGAGTTGGCTCTTAAAAACACCCATGGAGGGCGCCTGACAAATTGCGGGAAGGGGGGGGGGAGATTGTTCCAGAGGTGAGGGGTCACTGCTGAGATGACTTTAAAGTAGGGCAGACATCTTCCACGGGTTCAGAAGCTACTTATAACCATCCCTGGACTGTGGAAAGCAGTACTGCTTTTGAAACTCTCACCCTAATTCTTCTTTTCCATTATTTTTTTGAAATGAAAAAGGCCATTTATGGTCCCTAGTAAACAAATTTGTTAAAAATCTGAGGGGAGAGCAAGGGCCCCAGATGGAAAAAAAAATGTATCCTGCACCACTAAGTGTGAATGGGTCCTTCTCCTGCCATGGGCGCCCCCCCCCCCGGTAGGCATGGAAATGAGGGACGGAGGCTGACTTAAAATTCCAACAGGTTCCTTTTTATTATTCAACACTTCTTGTTCTACTGCTTCAAAAGGGTTTATTAAACTTAACTCTGGAAGAACCTTATAACTACGAACTCTTATATCTGGTGTTGTCCAGTTGCTTCTTACATTGGGGCTGGCCCAAACCGCTCGCGATCCGTCATCGGCCTCAAAGGGGTGGTCCGAACCGCACAGATCATCCCACAACAGGGATGCCTCACCCGGTCCCCCTCGCGTGGCTGTTGTAGTAAAAAGGGACTGGAACGAATCACCCTCCGTCCCCCATGATGGTTGTGGGGGTGCACGACCACTGTCCATTCTAGCGGCTCAAGCTCCCCTTTCGCTGCCTCTTCTCCCACCAGATCTGGTAGCAAACCTCCACCAGTGCGGAGATTAGGGAAATCCTTCAGCAGTCCCGATAGACCTCCTGGTTCACTGCTCCAGTCTGTCTGCACAGCCTTATCTTTCTTTTCCTCCTCTCGTCTGTCCGTTATTCGGAAAGCCAGCGCGTTTTCCCCCACATTTAAGACCTCCTCCCACACAATCAAGTCTTGCTGCGCCCCCTTATCATCAGCCAAGCAAACCTCCATCGCTTGCCCCTCTACTTTCTCCACCCCCTCTATCTCCACCAGCACCCCCTCTATACAACCGCGGTCTTTGTCGGGTGCTGATGTACTGGAGGACGGCACGCTGATGTCTCTCTGCTCACACTAAGGGAAATTTTGAGAGATTTTTTTTTTAACCTCATGAGTATTTTAATAATTTTTGAGCAGTGCTGGGAGGAGATTGTTGCTCACTCCAGTTTTAAAAATGGGGAGCCATCTCCACATATTCTCGGCTGGTGTCAGGTATCAGTGGCTTGGGGATACCATAAGATGTTTTTTAAAAAGCTGTGCTTGTATAACACTAGTACACCCAAAAAACAGGAGCGAAGGGAAGTGAATGTGAGAAAAAAAGTGGGAACTTGTACTGTGTTGGGCTATTGTCCAGTCTAGGGCAAAGCAAGGGGTGAACTGCCAAGTTTTGCCATTGGTGAACCTTCTCATTCAACAAGCCCTGGCAGCAACAGTGGAGTGAAGCAAATGTAACAGCAGGAAATAGATGTTTCATTTAATGAGTTATTTGACCTGTCTACCCAGAGTGCTTGCAGATGCTACTTATAGCATGCAATTGTCCTATTTATCCACAGAATTTTTGGGGGGATGGAGCAGGAGTAGATATTGTTTTGCATTTGTCTTCCATGCAGTTATCTTATAGTTTATGCCACAGATAATTTTATTAATAATAAACAGTATTGCTTACTAAAAATTTCTGGGGGATTTTTGCAGCAAAAACAAGAAAGGGGTCTATAAACCTTACAAGACTAATAAGGTTTATTTGCATGAGCATTCATGACTGCAGTCTACACCACTAGATGCAGATGTACTCCATGTTGCACTTGAATATATAATATATGGGGAAAATGTATGAAACAGGAAAAGATAATGTTGCCAGAGCATTACTCAGTAATTAGAAGCAGAAGAGGAATAAGCAAACAGATAAAAACATAGCTCAGCAATTCAAAGGTGTAACCTTTATATTTGCCTGCAGTATCTAATTAAAGTGAATGAAATTAAAACCAAGAAAGGAGTTGACCTGCTGCAGAACAACATCAATCATTGCAACTCCCAATTCAAGTAAGTGTCATCAGTTCCCTTTAGTCACATTCCTCATAACTTTTATTTGCAACAAAGCCAACAAAGCACCTTAACAAGAAACAAATTGGTGGTGGTATTAATTTTTTTCAGTGAGAACCTACTTTATGGTATTCATTCATTTTTCATTTGTCGCATGAATGATTTCTTCCTTCAGCAAATATATGTGTTCCCTTCTTTAAAAACGTATAAAACAGTCCTTTCTTCCATTAGCAGGCTTTGTACCTTTCATTTCTATTACCATAATAGAGCTGTAGTGGTTAAACTGCAGTACTGTAATGAAGACTCTGCTAATGACCTGAGTTTGATCCCAGTCTCAGATAGCCAGCTGAGCCTGGGATCAGCCTTCCATTCTTCTGAGGTTGGTAAAATGAGTACCCAGCTTGTTAGGGGGCAATGTGTAGCCGGCATCATTAAATTGTAAACTGCCCAGAGAGTGCTTGAAGCGCTATGGGGCGGTATATTTGGTTTTATCTGCAGAAGCCTGCTTTGTGCCAGAATTTTTATTCTAGAATTCTTACCTCTGATATATTTGCTTTTATCTGCAGAAGCCTGCTTTAGAATTTTTATTCTAGAATTCTTACCTCTGCAATATGTTAATAACTACCCAGAGTTTAAGATCATTGCCTTAGAGGGGAACATGTATGATAATCTTAAAAGTGATATAGGAAGACCTGTAAAACAATCTATACAGGCTGTGCTACTGCAGATAAGGAGGTGAAATGTTGGTTTGTGGATTGTACCGCACCACTTCAGACAACATTTTTATTATTATTATTTATTATTTTTATTTATTTTATTTATATCCCGTCTATCTGGTCGGTTAAGACCACTCTGTGGGTATCATCTTTGGATGTTCTTCCACGTTAAAAAAAACACAGCCCACCTTACAAAGGGTGAGGGGAAGATTCTGTGCCATCATTTGCAGGGAGATTTTTGTCATGGGGAGCATTCATAGCTTTAACCTCCTGCCAAGAGGTTGTGTTCATGCAGTCCCTTCTGCCCCATCAGTCTAATGGACATGCACACCAGACCTCTGTGCTTATTTTAAAACTATTCTGGGCTAGGGATGGGCATGAATCACTGGTTTGGAAGTTCGTGCTGTTTCGTTTATAGGCTGAATAAATGTTCCGTGCTTCACAGCCCCGTTTACTCTGGCAGGCACCCACAGAGAGGCGGCGCCCTGGCTTCTCTACCCCGCCTCCTCCAGCCACGGCCTCTGAGTGGGTGCCCCCTAGAGGAGGCGGGGCTGCAAAGCACTGAACACCTGTTTGGGTGATAAACAAAATGGCATGAACTGCCATTTCAATTCTGGACTAAAACATACATGGCTCCTCTCTGGATCATGACCAGCATTTGTAAGTAGGGGTTTAAATTAGCAGATGAGAAATATAGGGGTGAGCTACTAGTGCCAGTGGAATTTTTTTCCCTTTCTTACCTCTCCATGGCAGATCATCTGTACAGGTATTTAGATTTTTTTTTAACTTGGGAAGCTTTAAGCTGCTCCTGTTCCCACATACTTGTCTTCATCTAGATCAAAAGGCATGTGCCTGCTATAGGGAAAAAGCAGAGGAATCTTAAGCTGCACAATACCTGTGTTTAATGTATTGTGTAGTCTGACCTAACTCACTCAGGAAAATTCACCTGTAAGACAATAGCTATCCACACATTTTCCACAATCATCCAATGATCAAAAGCAAACATTCCCCAGACCACCAGGTATTGTTTCTAATTACAACCCACTTTGTCCAGTGGCTTCAACATTCTGGAATTCACATTTCTTTGAACTGGGAACACTCTCTTTTTAAAATTCCATCTTTTTTTCCTCAACAGTTTTTTCCAAGCATGTCTAAAGGCCACAGAGATGCACAAACAATTTATAGAAAATCTTACTCCTGAACTTCAAACTGTAAGTATGCTTTCTCAAACTCATAGACTGCATTTGTATGATGTATTGCACACAAAGCAGGAGAGAGCTGCATCACATCTTAGGTTTGTATATTCTCCCTCCACCACCGCCCCGGTCCTTCTGCTGCATAACCAGAATAAGGAGTTACGAACCTTTGGGAGAAGCCATGGCTCAGTGGTAAACCGCTTGCTTTCTGTTCAAAACATTGCATGTTCAATCCCTGGTATTTCTAGACTGGGCTAGGAAAAATCCTGCATGGAAATATCCAAAGGAATCAGTGTAGACAGTATTAGGCTGGACAATCATTGGCCTGTATCAGTGTGAAGCAGCTTTTTGAGTTCCAGTCTCTACTCTACCTGACCCAGCAGCACATCTATTGTGCTGTACAGGCTGTTCATCCCATTTTCACCTGGAAAGAACTCCCTCTTAGCCATGGAGGTCAGTGGAGGAACGTATACACCCTAGATGTCCAAAGTTAAGAATAAATATGCTGGGAGTAGGTAGTGACCAACCTCAGTTATTTTAACTTGAGTTGAATTTCCTTTAATAAAGATTGATTGTTCCTTTACCACCCAGAGAATATTTGCACCAATGGTGTGGTGTACAAGTTGAAATAATAAATAATTAAATAATTAAAATATTGAATGTGCTTAAGTATAGAATACAAAACAGGCAGAAAATGCCTATCAAAGGGATTTAACAGCAGCAGTGTGGAATGTGTGGTATGATGCCTTTTCAGATGAAGGCAAAACAGGAGGAGGAAAAGAAACAGCTGTGTTCCCTTCGTGATCAGCTGAAAGCAGCACTTCAACTGGAGGCCAAAGAGGTAAAAACTAGTGAGTGAGAGAACACTGTACGTATGTTGCCTAGCATAAAATAAATAATTGTCCTGTAGAAGTGTTAAAAGGTATGTGATAAGTATCCCAGACAGATCTTTGTCAGGGGCTGCATAGGAAAATCAAATAGAGAGTTATGAGGTACCATATGCTTAAGTGGAATTCCTGTTTTGTATGTGAAGGATAGTGCATGTTGTACTGCTTTAAAGGAAAAACCTAGTGGTAGCAAGAAGACTCAAAACCACTTGCATAACAAGGTATTGAACCTTTTCTCAGAATTTTTCTTCCCTCCTCCTTCTTGGAACTCAGTCTCACATGGGATGAGGTGCTAGTATAATCAGTGCTAAATGTTGGATCAAGTTGCTGATCTGTCCTCATCATGCTCAGCTCTCTAAATTGCAAAACCACTGTTTTAAGAAACCCAGCTGGTTCCATTGGAGGATTAAGGTTTTCGGGGCCACTGTGCTCAGCATGAACCAGAAGAATCTCCCTCATGATACAAAAAGCATTAATAATTGGGAATGGGAAGAGAGGATAGAAGAATTACTTGCAGCCCTCAGATGTCTGGAAATTAGAAGATGAATTAGAATTGTTTTCTTTTGCTCCAAAGGATAGGATTAGAACCAAATGGTGAAAATTGTAGGTTAATGTATTTTCACTAAATAAAGCTGTTCAACCATGGAACAGACTAGCTCTTCTTTGCTGGAGGTACTGAAGCAGAGGCCAAGGAAACATTAAAATGTTGCATTAAGCAGTTGTTTGGAGGTCACTGTATTTCAGAAGAACAGGGACTTAAATGTCAGTTGGTCTGTTCACTTTATTCCTGACAGGATTCTGTTAACAAGTCAGCGAGGTACAGCATGCATCAGCTGCAGGGAAATAAGCAATATGGCACAGAGAGATCAGGAAGTCTCTTCAAGAAAAGTGATGGGTAAGTATAAGTACTACAAACCTTGTAACTAAAAAATCTGTGAGCTTAACTTAAACATCAAAAGCCATCAAGACTTGGAATAATTTTTGTACTGATGAGCAACTTTCTTCTGCCAGAGTTTTTAAACTTTCAATATTGCTTTTCTTTCCTTGTCTTTAATCATACTATAAAGCCTTTGGAGTTTTTTAAAAAATACTTGAATGACAGAATATTAAAGGAATAAAACTAACCCAGTGGGCAAAGTGAACTCCTTGTAAGTATAGTAATTTCCTCCAAGAAAATAAGGATTCTGGTTGGTGCTTGAAATCTTATTGGACTTCTCCTCAAATTCTTAAAAAGATAAACGTCTGTTTGGGTCATAGACCCATAGATTGCCTTCAGGCCCATCTCTAGGCTGACATAAGCGTCAGTTGCTACTAGTATGTGTGTGTTAATTGCTGAGTGGATTCAGGCACTGAGGATTAGTCTTGTGTGATCCCACCCAAGGGTCCATGGACTGAGGTCCTCCAGACTCCTGGAATATGGCCCAGATGTGATTCTAACATTGTAGCATGGTTTGGTGCTTCTAGTGCTATTAACTTGATGACTTTGGCCACTTTATTCCATTTGGAATGTAGCCCTAGTATCTGCTCTTAGTGGAATGCTAAGGGGGGAAAATAGCTGCATAACAAGAAAAACATTAGAAGCAGACATTAACCATTCCCATGCTTAGAAATCATACACTTACTGCTGAATTTCTTCTTGCTGTGCTGCTGCTGGTGTTTGTGTGGAAGTGGTTGTGGGTACAAACAGATACAAATATAAATATTCTCATAAACCCCATTCAGCCTATAGTTAGAGCTGATGACTATGTAAGATACTGAAGGTCCCTTACTCTGAGATAATTGACTATTAAAATATATAATTTGCAGCTAGAATTTTGCTGAACAGCAGCATCCTAAATGTCAGTGGATATACACATAAACATGCATCTCAGCTGGCTTTGCAAGATTTTGTTTCACACGAGTTTTCTTTTTTTTTAAAAAAAATGTTTTCTTAAATATTGGGAACTACAGGAGCAAATTCTACTTGCTGCTATAGGCTTGGATCCTAACATATTTAACAGAGGAAAAATGTTTCATCTCTTCTTAGACCCTATAGCCCTTATTCCCTTAAAACAACTATTTGAAAGGCTAGTGGTCAACCTTTACAATGGAAGTAACAACGTTTCTTATGTTAATAAACTTACTATACTTAGCCCAATTTAGGGTACTTCCTCCCTCTCCTAACAATTTAATGTATCTCCATTCACATCACTCATGAGGACTCTACATAGTGAGGTTTTGTGGAAGGGCAGCAGTTATCTAGAGAGAAGAGAACAGGAAGCTTTCTGTCTGTGAACCTCCCGTTTTAGAACACAGTGTCCCCCGAATGTGCACTTTTACTTGATCTAACTTAACTTTGCCTGTTACTGTATTAATATAGGTCACAGCATTTTACAAATTTGTCTGGTTAGTTTCATGTAAACTTATATGTTCCCATTAAATTTCAGCTTAAGAAAAGTCTGGCAGAAGAGAAAGTGCACAGTCAAGAATGGGTATCTCACCATCTCACACAGCACGGTATGCAGCTCACTTTATAACCTAACATGTTTAGTGTAGCTGGATCAGAAAAGATTATTTGAAAACTAGTTGTGTATAAGAAGGACCATTAGTGGCTTAACTCTTAAGCTATTGACAAATGTTATTTTCTTCTCAATCTCACTTCAAAACACCCAAGAAAAGCAGATATAGGTGGTGTCCTTGTTATTTCAGGAGTCACATTTCTGGTACTGAGTGATGGCTACCAACACTCTTTTTATTTTTAGAATAGGTGTTTTAGTGGGAACTCTGGATTCTTCCAGATGGAGCCTTCCTTTCTTCCTGTATTCTGTGCTGATGTCGTTGGGATTTTTTATGACGTTAATATGATATTCCTCTCATTTTTCTCAAAACAATGCTTTTTTCCCATGACTTTCCCCCTCAGTTTTGTCCCTCCTGAAATCATGGTGCAATTTTAATACTGCCTTTGTAGTGGGGAGTATAATTTAAATGTAGTAGGGAGTGTAATTTAATTCAGTTTTACTCCTATTTGAAGCTGATGTCCATGGTGAGAGCCCCACAGTTGGTACCTGAACATTAAAAAACTCCAGCTGAGAGAAATTGATTTTTTAAAAAAGCAGCAGATTTCCTGAAGAGAACTACACTTTAAAAAAGAAGATTGGGCAAAAATCCCAGGAAATCTTGCTGTTCTTTGGCATCAAGAAACAGAAAGAGCAGTAGAGTCTGTCTAGAAGAGCCCTCAGAAAGATCATTTTACTACAGATTTGCAGGTCTGTGTAGAAGCAAGTTTTAAAAACAAACATATATGACTACAATCTTACAAATATTTAAGATTGTATTGGGAGCAATAATAGAGAAGGACCTAAATCTGAGCAAACATATATAGGGTTGTATATCAATGGCAAGGATCCAGGATATCTACATGAAAATATTGATTTGTATTGCTGCTATAAATAGAGAGGAAGACAGAAATGAGGCATTAATAAAAAGAGAGAGGGAGCAAGGACAGATGGTTATCAAAGGTTCAGTTCCTTTCTTTCAGTTTTTCCTCACTTCACTTGAGCTTTGTTGTAGCTGGCTTATTTTTGTAGAAGGAAGACATGAAGGTCAAGCTTGTCATGATACAATTCTATAATCTCTGCCTTCTACTATAATTATATTCAATATAGCTCTGTTTTTAAAAGCTAACAGAAACTTAAATTAAATATTATGGCCATGTTTTGCAAGTGAAGGTAAGACTATAGATATTATCAAATGGGCCTAGTGAGTGGTACACAAACAAGACCCTTCTGAATTCCAGTTACTGTACTTGTACTGTACAGTATTATGAAATTGTGAAGTTAAGTAATGCTTCTTTATCTGGGAGAAATCTCCACAAGACACAGTGGAATTTATTCTCAAATGAATGGCATAGGACTGCAGCTGTACACTTCTTAAAACTAAATTACTGAACTGCCATTTTTTAAAATTATAAATCAACCAGCTACATCGCCCTCCAGTCAAGCTGAATTTGCTCACTTGCCAAGTGAAACCGAACGTGGATGATAAGAAGTGCTTTGATCTTATTTCACGTAAGTCCTCTCTTAATTCATTCAAGTTTTCCTTTCCTTGGAAAGAATTTGAAAGAGCAACCTGCTTCTGTTGCTCTTGATAGAAGAAAGGGAAAAAGTATAGATCTCTTTACTGAAGAAGAGTTTTAAAGAAAGGGGTTGGATCTCTTAAGCCAGAATCTTGTTGTGTACCTTGACTAGATTCCAGTGTTTCTACTAGAATCCTCTTGCAACCCTTTATATACTGAAAAAAACCTGTTGGGGAAGCCCAGGAAACCATCTGAAGGGTTTTTTGTTTACACCATGCAAGGCTTCAAGAAGAGATGAAAGGGGAGATAGGGTCTTGACCTCAGTACAGAGCTGGCTGTTTGTCCCTGTGTATGTTGTCTTCTACCAGCTCATCATGGCCAGTCACTGGCTTTTAGCATAATGAACCTCACAAGCTGTTGCAAAGACAGTGTGAGGGTGCAATCAGATGGGAAAATTTTGAACTGCTTGTTGAACAGTCCAGTGCGAGCTGTTTTTCAGTAATCAAACAGTGTATAGCTCTGCTTTTAACACCATTCTACCATAGTGTATAGGTAATGGCAGTCCAGCCCAACCTCAATCCATGCCCAAGCTGGGCATTTTTTGTGGGGGGGGGCTGGGTTGGAGTGATTAATGGACAGAAAAAAGGGTTGCTTTAAGGGAGATTGTTCCTGGCAAAATGACCCTTTGCAGTGTGATCTGATGTAATCCTTTCTTACCATCTGAGCAAATTGAAAAACCATTGGAGGCAGTGATGACACACAATGAGAGATTAATTTCCATGTTGTGCAGCATTCAGGCACTGAAGTTGTGGTCGTATGTTGTGCTGAATGGCTCTGATGGCAGCCAATAAAATTACTGTTTCACTTTTATTCAGTATTGTCCCCAAATTTGGACATGTGGAAATAACCATTCCAAGGCTGTTAATTTCTGTTCCTCTTGCACTTCACCTAAAACATACCTGGCTCTGTTTTGTTTGGTGTTTTTCTCTTCCTTCAGATAATCGAACATATCACTTCCTAGCAGAGGATGAGCAGGACTGTTTTATGTAAGTATTGGACAGGATGAACAGATCTAGCCACAAAGTATAAGGAAAATAATGCATTTTTGGCCTGTTGAGCGGAAACAAGCAAACTGCTCAGAGAATTCTGTCTTTGAATTCATTTCCCAGAGGGTTGCTGGCTTTGTTGGTGCTTGGTGCTTGCCCTTGATTTTTAGATGTTGTTCAAAAACAGCAGGCATAGTCAAAATTATAAAAACCATTGACTGATATTATAGTACATCACAGAAGTGAGTACACCCCCTCACATTTCATAAATATTTTAGTATATCTTTTCATGTGACAATGCTGAAGAAATGACACTTGGCTACAATGTAAAGCAGTGACTATACATCTTGTATAACAGTGTAAATGTACTGTCCCCTCAAAACAACACAACACACAGCCATTAATGTCTAAACACCCCTAAATGACGATGTCCAAATTGGGCCCAAGTAGCCGTTTTCCCTCCCTGGTGTCATGAGACCTATTAGCATTAGTTTCAGGTGTGAAGAGGGAGCAGGTGTTATCGCCTTCACTCTCTTAGACTGGTCACTGGAAGTTCCACATGGCACCTCATGGTAATGAACTATCTGAGGAGCTGAAAAAAATGAATTGTTGCTCTACATAAAGATGACCTAGACTATAAGAAGATGGCCAAAACCCTGAAACTGAGCTGCAACACCGTGGCCAAAACCATACAGCAGTTTAACAGGACAGGTTCCACTCAGAACAGGCCTCGCCATGGTGGACCAAAGAAGCTGGGTACCCGTGTTCAGCATCATATCCAGAGGTTGGCTTTGGGAAATAGATGTATGAGTGCTGCCAGCATTGCTGCAGAGGTTGAAGGCACGGGGTTCAGTCTGTCAGTGCTCAGACCATATGCTGCACACTGCATCAAATTGGTATCCAGGGCTGTCATCCCAGAAGGAAGCCTCTTCT